CGAAAGATCTTCGCAACGGGAATCATCTGTTGATATCACATGTGAAACCGCACAATGCGGTAGGTAGTCAAACGGTTTCAAGATGGTTGTGCACAGCTATTCAGCAAGCTGGTGTAGGTTTGTCTTTTAAAGGACTCTCGACTCGAGCAGCTGCAACCTCAGAGGCCGCAGATTCCGGTATTCCTTTAGAACTCGTGCTAGAAGCCGCTGATTGGTCATCAGCTAGGACATTCGAGAAACATTACCACAAAGAAACAACGCAGGGAAGATTTGCACAGTCAGTACTGAGTTTATGTAGTGACTAGTTACATATGTTCTTAGAAATTAATTGGTTTATAATAAACTGTTATGTTTGACAGAATTTCACTCGAATCATTAGATTTCAGTAGAAATAACCGTTATACATCTGCACCAGTATTGCGAGTATCAGTCGGAGAAGGTACGAAGGAGAAATAAAATTTCCCCGGAGGGTCAGGTACTTACCTGAAGGGGAGATGTAGTTCTCCGAGGACCTTCGAAGACTGATATGAGCAATACTGGTTCCCCTACCGAGGTGGTCATCTTTACCACCCCTCCCAGCTACTGAAAATCTACCACCTCAGCAACCACTCATAAGAGGACGTTTGTGCGCATGTCTGAAAATTTAAACGTGGGTTCCAGACCGCTGCCGGCCGCGGATCTGCACCAGTATTGCTCATATCAGTCTTCGAAGGTCCTCGGAGAACTACATCTCCCCTTCAGGTAAGTACCTGACCCTCCGGGGAAATTTTATTTCCGAAAGCACAACGGCGACGGCGATGGCAACGCAAGAACGATATTTTAATAAAACTGCGCATGCGCCAGTCAGAGGAAACCCCAAATCGACGTTTTCGCTTCACGCGACCGACGTGAAATAAACAAACCTCACGTCGCAGCTAAAACGCGAGATCAAAGAGACAAAACTCCCAAAACATGGCTGCTCAAGAGAAACAAAAAAGGTATGTATTTGTTTATTTTGATCTGTGCTTACACCCCAACATCGTTTACACGAGAAAAACTATTTTAGCAAGATTGCTTACCATTGAAACTTGAAAGTTGTGGGACAGATAGGGAAAATCTAGGCATAATATCCAAATACCTGCAAGGATATGCAAATCTTTTGAGAAGAACCGACAAAGTGCAGTCAAGCTCGAAACTTTAAAACCATTGACACATTTCATTTCCTCTGGGAATTGCAAAACTTCATAAAGCGTGTATATGACATTTTTCAGGAAGCGAAATTCAGCTTTACACTCGTCATTGCAAAGATTATCCAGGTCAAACTGTTCGTAGTCCCAATATGGCAAATCAAGATTTGTTGATCTGTTTACATCATAGAGCATTAAGAACTCTTTGTCGTCAATGTAACCTTCATCGTGGGCATGCAGTAATGCTATTCTATTTTCTCTAAAACTCATCTTTGTTTAAGTATGGAACCACAGAGTGCTATAACATTTTATGACGTTTCGCGGCAAAATAAACATTTTACCGAATGAATGCTACACGAAACGGCGACGGCAACGCCAACGCCATAAATGAAGTTGCCGTCGCCGTCGCCGTTGTGCTTTCGGAAACTCTCTATTAGCTGAGCTAAGGACAGGACCTCGCGAAGCTGCACGGGTCTATTTCACGCGAGTTTCTATCAAGTCACAGGAGGTAGCGAATAAAACGATTAACGATACGCCTACGCAACCGAAAAAGGCTGATGATCAACAGGCTATGAACTTGCACAATTATCAACAAGGCTAGTGTCAGGGAAAATCCCAAGAAAAAATGTCAATATAAAGAGGGACTTCCCCATACTTGGACTTTGGCAATCATTATACACAACAACAACGACAGTTATATGTAGTGGAGCGCGTAGATTAGACTGAGCAAGCATATGGTGTCATTGTCTTTCTTCTCAGAAGACTAAAAGCTAAATTAAATAAATATCTGAAGTAAATATGACATTCCTACAATATATGGTATTAATCTTTCACTATAAATCATTATGTTACGCAAAATGAACAACAACCTGACAAGATTTGCATCGCCACCGGCCAAATATAATTAGCTTTATAGGGAACAAGTAAAAAAATTTCTTGCAAATTTGTTTTATAGCACTGCTGAACCAATAGCATCTTTGTAAGTTCATCTTTGTAAGCTAACACCAGAAGCGAAACCAGATTAGTTAGTGGAAGGGAGTCCTAAAGTTAGATCCCCTATTTATATTTGAAATAGAGTAATTTACGCTGTCAAATGTAAATTGTTGTCGCTAAAATAAGCAAATGAATCAGACAAATGACAGGATTTTTCCAAATTTGCCAGCAACTTTTTTTATTTTGAGCAAATTCTTAAGCAAATTTTCCCTCTTTTGGAGCAACTTTTTGGCAATTTACTAGCACAATCTGTGCGTGCCTACCGGACGAGATAAGTGATACGTTTAGTTCACATGCGCAGGCTTGTTAAGTATCATGTTTAAATATTATATCGAGTTGTGTCTTCGGAAACTTTGCACCGGAACTAGTTGTTGAAGCAAAATACGACCACGCTTACTGTTTTAACTCTTGAACAATTGCAAAGACATAAAATAACAGCTATTTTTACCCGTCGGTCGTTAGAAAGTTCGTTATTCAGTTGGGCAGCTTTGTCAAGTTTATCATGAGACATGTCTGAACAAGTCGAAACCTAGCCTATTCATATATACGGCTAAAATAATGAGTAAAGACTGGTAATCAACAACGTCAACGCATTTATTGGCTAAGACGGAAAGTTCATATTGAGATAAAAGTTGTTGAAGGGTAAATAATCAGTCAATTCATTACGGAATAGTACATGCTTTATACATGCATGAAAGTACAGATCGAAACAAATGAAGACAGTCTATATAGCTTTTATGGCCATTCTATGCATTATTAATTAATTTTTGAACCATGCTAAATTATGCAAATTACTGTCAGCTATTTGAAAAAGGGGAAAACCTTGCCTGGCTGCAATAGGAGAGATCTCCCTTTTTGATTTAACAGCGGGTATTTTATTTATATACGTATTTACAATTCCAATTCTCCCAAAAAATGGGTGATTTTGTCTCATAAAACCGGCCCAGCTCAGAATACTAAGTAGGGCTATATTATTTTGCAATTAGCTATTTCGGGCAAATAGATCCTGGTTACATAATGGCGTGAAATATTGAGACGGTGCTAATCTGTGTTATCAACCGGGCGAGCTGAAAAATTAACTATATATATAGTTTTACCGCGGTGATGCGTTTTAAGTTTTCTGGTATTGCAGTAAGTCTGCTAACCGGTTTAGATCACGATATTTAATTCAATAAAGCTCGAGATTCAACGAAGCGTAAGAGGACTTTGAGGTATTGAAATAAGTCTTTATGACACCAAACAAGCACATGCTATTGTTGTGATGATTATACGACTGCGAGGATCATGTTATCTGCTCATTTCAATACCTCAAAATCATCTTACGCTTCGTTGAATCTCGGGTAACCGGGCTCATGTAAACAGCCCCTAACATATAAGAAGCCACTTGAATAAGACGTGACCCGTGTCCGGTTTACACGAGTCTGCCAGTCCCGTCAAATGAGACGCGTCTTATCTCAGACGCGAACAATATACCATTTATTTTACTGTTGTAGAAACGCGTTCAATGAGTTGTGTTGTATAATGTTGTACTGAACGAGTTTAATATAAACGAGTTAGCTTGTTGCACTATCTTTCTAACACCAGTCTGTAAAGGCGTCCTTTCCCTACATATACGAGCTTAAATAGGCCTTATCTTGAACTAGCGAGTTTAAAGTTTGAGATCACTTTGAATCTAAATCTTTTAATTTGCCTCTTTTATAGCTCAGTTAAATGAACCCTGTTTTCTTAAGCCCACGCGTGCATTTCGTTTTATTTATTGACTATATTGTTATTGAGTTCGGTCAGCTTGATTTGCAAACTCGACTCTGCATGATCTTGCTGTAAACTCTTTGTCTTTTTTGCTAAAATACAAACGGTGCTTTTGTTTGCGTTTAGTAAACTGCTAAAATGAAATTAAAATAAATAGTGCGATGCATGCAATTTTCACTAACGCAACTTTAATACTAAAAATAAATGGGGAAAACCCATCATCTTACGTCGGGGATTCCCCCTTATATTATATGTATATATAGCCTGGTGGCAGCAGAGATTATTACAGAGGATAGGTTTACTAACTTTTTAAACTTACCAGCTCTAAGAAGAAGTTATAAAAGACATTCTTGATTTAAGAAGGTAGGAATTTAACGAGTGATCTATAGTATTTGTTTCCTTATTAGAAAGACTAAGACTCAGAAGCATGCATGGTGATACGCGATATTTCATGCCCATGGAACTTCGATCTATCCGAAAGGAATGCAATTTCGTTTGTCTAGTCGAACGTATTTTTATTTAATTTGTTTCTCTACTGCAAAATGTTACAAGTAATCGTTGATTACAAATGTTACAAATTGCGTTGATGATTCGTTTGGCCGTAATGATGAATTGTATTATAAATTGAATATATTCGTTCTATTTATTTCACGTTTAGAATACTTTCCACTGAGCATGGGGAGCACTGTTCGTAAATCTGTCAGTCACTTGATTGGAAGAAACCCAGCTGATGATAAAGCTAGATGTATTCAAGGAGAAGGGCAGGACGTCACTTATCATTTGATGGACATGAACTTCACGGCAAACGTTTCTAATAGTGTTCTACGCAAATATTCGAAAAACAGCAGGTGTCCTAGAGTATTAACAAAATACCCAAGTTCGGAGATGCTCAATTTTCCTGCTAGGTCTATTAATAATTATTCCGAAAAAAGAAGTAGATTTTTGGAGTTAGAAATACGAAAGCGCATTATACACGTATTCATTCAATTAACGAAATTTTCGCAACATCAACTTTCTCAACAAATTTACGGTTTTAACTTACAAATTCCATCGTGTGATAGATATTATATGCAGCCAGCAGGATAACGATTGTCTCTACTGAAATGTTAACACTAAGCGCCAAATTAGGTGACGATTTAATAATGGAAAATAAAAGGTTGTTAAATGAAAATGAGTCGGTAAAACTGTTATTACAAGAAAAAAATGACCTCATTGAAAAACTTCAGGAAGAGTATCTAGAAAAAGAAAGTCACTTCATAGAAGAGAAAAAACATTTAGAAAGTGAAATACTGCAGTTCAAGAAAACAATCCTCAGTCTTGAGGAACATATAAAGGGACTTGAAAACGATAAAAAAGATCTGTTATCCGATGTTGGAAGACTTTACGTTGAAATCGACTCCAAAATAAGCAAAGAAAAAGATATCGAGATTTTTAAGAAAATATTTCCCAGCAAATCCGCTTCCTCTGTAAACGCAAGTGAAATATCCGCCGAGATAGTCGTGTCTCCTGAAAATCATCGCACTGAAGAAAATATTCCTCGAAATCAAAACCAACCTGCAGACCGTGTTGGATCAAGTTCAGGCGTGCTCCCTTCAAATGAAAGCAATGGTTCATCTGAACCGCTGCGTTTTCCAGTCCAAATACAAGAAACAGATGGTGCTGATGAAGGGAATACATCTCTTTCGTCAGCAATATCTTCAGTCCATAATGCATATAAACAACTATTGCTAGCCATTGCCAATAGTTTGCTCACCGGTGATGTCATTAAGCTAAAAGATTGGGCTCATGAACAGTTTTCAGTCGCAACGAATCTTACTTCAACCGAAGTCATTCTTCAATTGGACCGAAAAGGTGTTATAAACGCATCGAATACAAGCGTGCTTCGCGAATTTCTCAAGTCGATTCTGAGAATTGATTTAGTTCACCTCATCGATGAATACAACAGCGGAAACTATGTTAATTTGAGAAGGATGGTTGTTACAATTAAGGAAAAGAGCGTGAGCAGCACACGGGAAGTAAATCGGGCGTACGCATCTCGTAGAATTCCGTCTCAACGAGAGATATCTGAACAAAACCTTCCCCCTGTTCGTAAAGACACTATGGTCATGCCTCCTGTCAGTAATCAACATGACATGGCCAATGTTCATTATCAGAAGCCCAGCGAAACTCTCTCAAGACGAAATAGATTGTCCACGCATGAAGATGTCTCTAATGACCGTTCAAGAGATACAGCAAGAGGTCGGTTTGAAATAACTTTGATCTAATTTCACAATTACTCCCGAATTTTGTTGCTTTTAGATGTGCCACTTCGGAATAAATGACCATTGAGCAAAGTTGGACACTATTTCTGCCGATGTTCTTTATTTAGCGATATTTTTTTGTAAGAATAACTAACTTATAAAGCTACAATTTTTGCAATTATTTTCAGGTAGCGAAAGTAGATCAAGAGAAGCAAGCAGTGGGCCTACAGACAATACAAGACATCAAGAGCACCGAACACGTGCTCGTGACCAAAACGCACGTTTCAATTTTCCTTCCACGTCAAATAATCCAAATGGTCGGTCTGAGAGATCAAACAATGTGAAGAAACAAACAGATAGGTGGTTGTGTAATCACTACAAAAGGCGTTGCATGGTGAAATTTGAATGTTGTGATAAATACTGGGCTTGTCATCGTTGCCACAACGAGACGAGCACGTGCCAGCAAAAGAAACTGAAATCACGTGATACGACAATGGTCAAGTGCATGGAATGCGGTAAAGAGCAACAGGTAATGAACAATAGGATAATAGCTAATTTATTTCATATGGAAAATTCACGCACTTGTGGGGATTTTTAATTCCCCCCCCTCTTGAATTTGCCGTATATTTTTTGCAACTTTTCCATAGCAATTTTTCTCCATTATCTTCTTATAGTTCGGTCAATTTTGTGTTTCATGTAACACTCAATTCGCTGATTTTTACTGTGGTCTTTGCAAGCATCTTACTGGAAGAGATGATCATCCTTATCATTGCGAGAAATGTGGTATTTGCAGGTAGGAATTTTTGCTATATAGATAAACTCTATAGATCAACTTAATAAAATGATCATATACTTCAATTACAATATCACAACTAACTTCATGACAACTTATTATTGCAGGATCCATGGAGATCGTTCATTTCATTGCGACGTCTGTGGTGTTTGTCTCGATGTTCAACTCAGAGGAAATCATAAATGTCGTCCAGATTCCGCTCATGACAACTGTGGTATCTGCCTAGAGGTAACTATAAGCGATGTTTAAAATTTACTGTCATTATACCATTGGCCTATCTTCGCCCGGACGCATAACCAATCCAATCTGGCTATCACATTGACCAATCAAAAAGGCAAGAGGTCAACGAATAGTAGCGGTGGAGGGAGCAAAATCTGAATCCTCCTTGATGACTTCACGTCATAGTAATTAGTTTCCGGACACCGTCTTTGCAGTTTAGGTTTTCTGCTTTAGGAAACCCAATTTACTATTAATTTTAGTGAAAAAAACTTGGGCTACTTGGGTACTCTCGTGTAATTAAATATATCATTTTAAAAATTTAAAAATTTGCTTCATTTTTTTGCAGGATGCGTTTACGGGATGCCAAATTTTGCCATGTTCCCACAAAGTTCATAAAGAATGCTCCAAGTTAATGATTCAAAACGGAATGTAAGATACATTATATACCTCCTATAGTTAAGACTTTCCCGCTGGCAAAAAAACTCCCCGTTATCAACACTACGTTTAGTTGTATACGAATGTCATTCTGACGTATGAAAATTGGTTTTGGTGTCAAAACTGTTGCCACATTTTGTTTACCCCTGAAAGTGAAGCATGATATATGTCCACTGCATAAGCGTTTACTCGATCACATACGCCAGGGTGGGAACGGTATATTAACTAATCTTATCGTGAAAGTGGGCTCTTACACTTTTAATCTGACACACAACTATAACTTAATGTTTATTAATGATCTAATATCCGTATATTGGTAAAAATTACAATTTTTTTACATGCAGCTGTTTTCAACATCAAGTTACTAAGCATGGCCTGCCCATTATGCATGAAGTTGACCGTGAGAGGTGACCGTAAGATGTTTTTTCATGCTATTTCTACAACCTTTTTCATTCTTTTTTCAGGACTCGCTGCCCAATATGTCGAGAAAGTTTTGCCCACAAACTTCAAAGAAAACCAGTTAGAAAACAAACAATAAAAACAAGGTGATTAAAGTCAGTAAACCACTCTGATCTCTTGGAATTATGGGGTGAACTGAAGATTTGCTGAAGACTGATTGGGACATGCAGATGATTACGATAGTATAATTCTCGTATTTTTGACGTCACTGGACAATTATCAGATAATCCAGAAGGCAGAAATTTTCGTTTGCAGCGAGTGTGGCAAAACTCGTTATCTTAAACCAAACCACATGATGCAGGCGTGAGCAAGTAAATAAATGAAGATCTTGGATGGAATTTACACGTTGCACGAATGGCACGTTGATTGGGTGGATTCATTCAGAGATCGACCAGAACATACATTTTAGGGAAGCAATGAAGAGAAAGTAAAGGAACTATCAATATAATCGTAATTTTAGGGTCTTTTTTAATTATTTTGCATAAAATTACATGCAGTATATTAGCGATTTAAAAATTTTCAAACTAGGGCATAAACAAATAAGTCTCCTTTAATGTGAGAGTATAATCAAGATGGAAGCTTTCGATCATTCTCATTTAACTTTGAATGGTAGATAGATAGATATGAGATGGTATATTAATTTTCACTAAAACATTACAGCTATAGGCTAAATTACGTTTAGTTTAATAAACTGCTGCCATCTGTTAATAGCTCCTCAGTGAATTTGAGAAATAGGCGTAAATTTGACATACCTAAAGTTAAGATGAACCGTTTTAAAACCAGTTTTATAGTTAGTATAGCTAACTCTGTCAAATCAGTAATTAATTTTTTCTCTACTCATCTACATGCATGCATTTAAAACTTTTATATCTATGTATATATAAATAATTTTTATTCTATTTGTAAGCTTATGATTCTCATCGTTTGAAATCTGTTTAAAACAGTTTATCTGCAAGGTACTGGCGGCGTACGACGAAAGGGACCAAACGAATTCAGCAATTGATAATGCTTCTTGGTATGATGTTGATGCCTGATGGATGTACTATATGCATAGCGCGCTTTTGCATTCTTTGAGATCGTGTGAGAGGTACTCGGGTAAGCTATCATAAAATGCTGGGCAAGCATATTCCAACAGAGATCTGATACACAGTTTAAAAAAATTGAACAAATTCTTTAGTACCAACATTAGAACGTTTTAGCTGAGATAAAAAAATAAAGTCGTTTGGACGCTTTTTTAACAATTTCAGTAACATGTTCGTTCCACTTCAAATTATTATTTGATGCTCTCAGACCTAAGATCTTAGCATGGACTACAATTTCCAGAACTTTATCATTTATTGTGATAGGTTCCATGCGCCAGTTGTATCAAGCTCGTTTAGCTTAAATAACACTCTTACATCTCTCTTGAATGAGTTAACTTGAATATTATGCACTGAATATGTTGTTGTAAACAGTATCTTTGTATTAAGGACAAAACCATTTAGTCAGTCCCTTGTTGAATAAAACGTTAGACTTGCTTTCTATTTTGAACTTATCCGCCGTTCAAGCTAAACGGGCTTGATTCAACCGCCACCAGGTCTTTCTTCTCTTTGGAAAAGCAGATTCGCATTTCTTTGCACTTAGATTCATTAAGTTGGAATTTATCTGCTCTGGACTGGTTGGCAAGGTCGTCCACTGCATCTTTACTATGACTTATACTTCATTTTTCAGGATGGTTTCACTAATGGTTGAATCTTCAACATACTTCCACATCTTTACCCGGGAAGACAATGGCGTAGGAAGCATCCAGAGGTTGGGGGGGCACCAGCTTCTAGGGGCACTTTTGGTTAATAAAAATGACGGTTAAAATGGTTAATAAAAATATATATATATAGGGACGGTTTGACTCAGGGACCGCCGACCGCAGAACATTTTTCGTATTTCTTGGGCTTCGTACTGCTATGGGGTCCGGGGGCATGCTCCCCCGAGAAAATTTTGAGATATAGGCCTCTGAAATGGCCGTAAATCCCTCTCAATTTAGGGATTATTGGGAAATAGGAGATACTTTTTTCTTTCTTTTCGCTTCCCAAAAAGGCATTTTTTTCACAAAAAGGGCACTTTTGTTCCCTTGAAAAATCTTGGGGGGGCACGTGCCCCCAGTGCCCCCCCCTTCCTACGCCACTGCGGGAAGACAAGGTCATTAATCAAAATAACGAACAGCCACGACCCACGTTTTGTGCCTTGGGGTACCCCCGATGGTATTGCACCCCACTCCGAGTAACACTGCATGCTGGCCAAGGTTAACTCTTTCGTGACAAAGGCGGTAAAAGTCAAAAAGGCGGTAACCACGGCTGCATGGCTCAACAAATTCATCAACGATGAAATATTCCGCTAGTTTGGATAGAATTGGTGTCAAGGAGATAGGTCTAAGGTGTTTGTTGTCGTCCGAGACAGGTTTTGGCTTGGGTATTGGAATGATTTTGTTTCTTTCCGTCTCCATACCTGCGTTTTCCTTTAAAAGCCAACCAGGTACGTAATGGATGGTTTCGGATGGTTTCGTTGGAAAAAGAGCGGATAATTTTTTAGAAACTTATTCTTCTGTCACGATAGGGTCGCTTTCCAAGACAGAATCTAGTGCATTGTTACGAGGGGATAAAGGGTTGTATTCTGTCATTGGAGAAATAAATACTTTATTAATAATGTTAGCAATGTTATTTTGACTTTGCTCTTCCTGATCGCGGGCTATGTGTTCTAGTAGAGATGTTATTTCGCGTTTCCATGTTGACGAAGACATGCCGCTCAATTTCTTAACTTCCCTCCACCACGTCGCCTGTTTGCAATGTTGTAAATGCTTCACTTTCGAGTCGTAGTAGTTAGCGCGACATATTTTCCTTTCTAGATTCACTTGGTTTCGCCGGGATTGAAACGTGTCGTTATCTCCTCGAAGGCCCTCTGCCGAGCACGATCTTTTTCTTTAAAGGCCTGTTTATCCAGGAGGGTTCGTTTACAACGATTGTTTTGGAGGACATAGGAATAATAATATCCATACCGGTTCTAACCATTTCTTCCAAGATATTTTCTTGAGCGTCGCACATAGTTTTGTTATGTACTAGTGCTTGTAAATCGATTTTCTCCAGGTAAGACAGCGATTGCCAGACGCTTGGTTGGTCGTGAATCTCTGGTTTTAATTGAGAACTTGGTGTGGGAGGTTTCTGGTTTAGCTTTAGTAATCATTTATAAAATAATCAATTCCTTTTGACTATAGTTGGGCCGGCAAGATGCATACCCAAAACGAAGATAATAAGTTTTTTCCTGGCAAAATAACCCCCCCCCAAAAATTTTGAAATATTGTGAGTGGAGAAAATAGGAGTAGCCCAGAATTATTTTCGTTCTCGTGACGCTCGCGCGTGTACAAGAGTCTACTCGGTCTATTATTATGACATAATATTATGTACACGCGCGCGCGTGTCATACCAGTAGCCTAATTTTCCAACAACTTGCAACTGAGACCTGCTTTTTTTGAATTGTCTATGGTTTAGAAAGAAAATGCTGAATTTCGGGCTTTTCCCTACAACACTCGAGAGGGAATATCAAGGTGTCGATTAAATGTGTACATAATTTTAACAATTAGGAGCTGTATTGTTTTTCAATATTCTATATCTGCCATTGTACATACCTTGCCACTCATTTGTAACTGCTTTCGATCCTTTCCTGGGTGAGAATATCATTGGTTAAAAATGGTCTACGCTTTTTAGAACTACTATCTTGTGATCCGAAATCATATTTCACGGTTTTTTAAATTGGTCACGTCGACCATGCTAAGCCAAAGTCTTTCAATTTTGATTGTCATTTCATAACTTGGGCGGCTGCATCATAATATTGTGCTTGCCCGCCGAATTGAATACTGTATATTTGGATGCTTCTTCCTGAATAATCTACGTTCAGTTTCACGGTTTGAGTGTTCAATTAGCTACTGCCATGCTTGCCTTAAATAGCCGAAGACCTACACGGTATTTCATAACATTATTTTAGCATTATTATGTAAAAAATGCATGTATTATAGAATAGAGCTACTCTTATTATTTTTATTATAAATAACGTGGAGTATTTGTGTGTCTTCCATTTAATATGGTGGAAATATCGACCGACTATTTTTATTGCGTATATATACTATAGTTATATATTTGAACGTGTTTTCTTTGCTGAAGAGTGCTGGCATGTATTAGAATTTACAAAGGTTTTTTTCATCTTTTAACTTTTGAAATAACATGTTGTTATGTGAGGTGTCTTCCTTTTTGGCTCTGTCATCTATTGTGGGGGCGGAAATTATATTCATTCTGGAGATTTTGATTAAAAATATCTTGTGAAAACGTTGACTAAGCATAAAAAGTGATAAGCGTGGGCGCAATGAATGAGCCACAAGATTTATACTGGGAAAACCCCATGTCTGGAATGTCTGGGGATTCCCCGTAATCGTGGCGGAATTCCCCAAATTCTAATGGGCTGTTTACATGAGCCCGGTTACCCGAGATTCAACGAAGCGTGAGAGGACTTTGAGGTATTAAAATAAGTCTTTGCGACACCAAACAACCACATGCTATTGTTGTGGTGATTATACAACTGTCAGGATCGTGTTATCTGCTCATTTCAATACCTCAAAATCATCTCACGCTTCGTGGAATCTCGGAGAACCGGGCTCATGTAAACAGCCCGGTTTAACCTACATAATTTAAGTGTTAAATACATGTGCTGGTGTCTTCATTGAGTTCATTCCGTGTTGAGGTTGTACTAAGAATGTGCAACGCGTGCTCACTTCTTTAGAAATATCCCGTTCTGTGGTTTATCGGTTTGTATAAAATATACATAGTCATGGAAAACATATTTCATAGGCAAAATACAAATGCGAAAAAAAATAATAAAGTGGTGATTTAAGATTGATTTCTGATTCTTCTCATATAGAATGTGCGAAATTTCCCCCAAACCTTGTGTGTAGGTAAAAAAATATAGGGAAGGAAAATTATGTCTGAATATATGTTGTGACCGTGAAAGGTGAAGGAGCATCTTGGTAAGTTCTGCACTTAGTCTATGTGAGGCAAATATGGAATTTCATCATGAAGAAACCCACGCAGCGATTTGAACTACACTATAGAATGCAACTGCTGAAACGTTCAATAACGCGCTTATTTGGGAAAAACTTGGTTCTTCTGCGAGTTTTGGGGATTACCCGCGCATTGTAGCTCCTGCATTATAGTGAGTGTATATAAAGCCGAGGAAAACTGAGTTTATCAATGAAAGCCACAACACAACACAACATGGAGTGCAAATGAGGCAAAATTTTTCGAAAGAGTATACATGCTATAAGCGTTAAACAAGCTAAGCAATGATCCGTCAAAAGGCTGTAAGTACTACAAATTTGAAATTTGTCTATTAGGCTACTTTCAATTTGATCCTCGTTTTAATCGTTTTAAATTAGTTATATTCGCCAAAGATTTATACACTCTCTAGCTTCTCTATCTGTAGTATTTCTCCTATAACTGCATGAATAATACTGAATCATAAAGCCGGGCAGTTAATACTTGTCATAAAGGTAGTTTTGAAATATATTTTGACAACATGATATTTTATTCAATAGTATATTTGTTTCAATAATAAATGTGAATAAAAAACTGTTTATATTGCGGTCTATACTTAAGGGGAAAACCTCTTTCATTATAGGGATTTCCCCGATGCATGAATACACGAGAATCAATTAATTTGATCATTTGAAAGGAGTTTTTATTTGTATTGAATTGAAAACAAATATTTTTAATGGCCCTGGATATTTTGGCATCATATTAGCTGCGTTGGCGCTTATCAGATGCAATTTAGATTACTTCAATTCAATTTAAGTTTGATTTGGCACAGGTTGACCGCCACAAGCTATTGACATCAACATTCATATAGTGTTGTTGGTCCTTATCTGTAAAAGATAGCGCATCTATTGTCGACTATGATGCCTTTTTCTAAGATATTTCCTTTGTCTATAACGAATGCACATGTTTCCCTTTACAGTCAGGCATAACAATTGCTAACAATATACGATATGTGTCAATGTGTCAAGATGCGGAAAAAAATGGCTAGCTCAAGACTTCTTTGAATAAAATGGGAGTGGATGTAATTGTGCGTTACGCGAAACGAAGCTGTTCAAATTCCCCAAACCAAAATCATTTGAGTAAAAGAATAACCGTCTTCCTGTTTTCTGACACACGTTTTCCTCACTGGCGTACGCTCAAAATATGTTATAGTATATTAGTGGATACGACAGCTCCCGGCAAGCGAGGAAAGCTTGCTGTTTTGTCGATGAGAGCACATAAGCTTATAGGCTATAGCGTTCAGTTTAGTCTCACAGTCTTGCAGTTACATGTTTTCCACGGCGTAAAACATTTTCATGATCGGAATGGAATAGGCTCGCCACCTTCGTTAGAAACTTGAAAGCATTTTTAATTCTACCACTGCAACTAGGGAAGGGGTTCACAATCAACATCATCGGATAAATGTCTACAGATATTGAATTGTTCTGTGAAGGCATCGTCTTACTTGAAAAATATTAGAATTGCTATCCGAATTTATTTTACAGCATTTATAATTACAAGCATTATTATTTTTTTTTGGTGGATCTTGTTTGATGTTCGTACTGGAAGAAGACATGCCATGCATGCAGTGAACAAGGAAAAAGCAATGTCAATGTTGTCAGTGGGCAGTAATCATCAAGACATCGGTTTTAAGAATCCATGTCATGTTGATTACTGCCAATTGGCAATATTATCTCCAGCTTCTTTGCAAGAAGATTTGATAAATGAAGATTTGAAAAATTGAATGATCTAGGCCATACGTTGTTGTATTTTTTATAAGATCTAGAAGTTAATTAGTTTATCTTGTCTTTTTCACATTCAAATCATTCTGCAGCACTGGCCACCACCCAGAAAATTTGCCCTGAACCCTTCTCCGAAAGAGAGAACGGTACGAACATAGCATACTTATATAGTTTTTACTCAGTTTATTTTGTGCCAACTTTGTTGCCGTTCTGCGTTACCTAAAGTTTCAGTTGCCAGAATTATATTTTCGTAGGGATCACTGGGAATTTTCAGTTTTCAAAATAGAATGGAAATAACGATGGATAGAAAAGACCCTGGGTACGAGGTTGGCTAAATGGTAAGTTTATATGATATATCCAAACTAATTTCCATCTCCGTACTATTTGGATATAATTTAGAAGCAATATGGGTATATATAGCATATTAGGATTTTGAAAAAATTTCTAGTTTAAGGTATATGGATTTCTACGCTTTTACCCCGCGCCTGCATTATAATTGGCTTGGCTTAAAAAGAAATGTATAGATAAACAACTTCTCCACGTTTTATCAGAACGGTTTAGGAATTCTTGAATCAGATGTAGCGATGGTGGAGACCAAAATGTATCTTTCGTTCTTTTGTTTGTCTCCTAATGTTAATGATGGGTATAGAAAGAACAGCAATGTATGGTTTCAGTATCGAAATTCAACTGTTTTGGTTTAAGTGCTTCCGAACCGCTGTTCTTTTTGAACCTTTATAAAATATGGCTTTTGACAGTCCAGAAAATATTTATGGAAACAGATATTTAACTTTGTAAGCAAGCGATTTAACATATTGACTTGCTTTTACCCAGGGTTAAACCAACCGGCTTTTGAACAACCGGCCCCTGGTGAATTGACGTGATTTGAATGTGCTGGTAAAATTTACAGAGCAAATTCATAAAAAAACGTTATTTGTTCTGACGGTATTTTGGGGTGGTCTAAATTCCTATTCAAACCATAACATAAGTCGGTTCAAGTCAATATTTCCTTGTTGTCAATATTTATAATGACTTGGCATGTGTTTCAACAACACGCGCTAATAACCGGAGATAAATTGTGGCCAAAACACTGAAATAGACGGGGAATCCCCCAGCCGAATGAGTTTTCCCTACTTATTACCTCTTATTGACATTGTTATAATATTGCAGACGCATCAAAATTCTGCGACCTCTCGTGACCTTTTTTCAATTTTGAAAGACTGATCGTTGTTACTAAAATGGCGCACGTTGCAATATTCAAGTTTACCATGCAGGTGGTAATGATAATGTTAATTGTGCATGCATGTATGTTTCTTCCATTGTTATTCAAAATATTTATCCTAAAATAAGAAATTGCATTATAAAACTTTACAAGATTTCTTACTTGAGTTTAGGCTCAGTCAAACGATCCATATCGGATCAGGATTTCAACGTTTCTGTGGTTTTGCAAATTAAGTCTCAGGAAAAACAATTGTTAAGGGGAGTACTAGACCTATGTTGGAGGAAACATGTTTTGATTGAATATTTATTTTGCTACATGTGTCCATTGCAGGCGTTTTAATCGTGAAATAATCGTCTATACTGAGTGAAAGAGTGAAAGCTATTTTTTAAGAAATATCTGAGTGATTTTTCAAACATAATATTTAATATAATTTAAAATAAAATTGTGTGAATGATCTCCCATTTGACAGACTATATAGGTGACTCTTTCACTGTCAATTAGGGTCATGTCGGAGTGCTCGGAAGCTTTCGTCCAATTGGATAATGCTTTTCTATGCTTTAAAGAACGAAGCTATGCTATTGGTTGAAACAGAATTAAATGTATTGTAAAGTTCAGCCAATCAAAATCATTCTTGCGAGGAGCTGCGACACTACCCGTCAATTATAACGAAAGACTATTTTATGGAAATCTTATATATGTTTAAGATAAAAGGGGAATGCCTGGATTTAATGAATGGAATTTTGCAAAAATGCAAAATATAGCTTTATGTTTTAAACTAGCCACCGAGTATAGCCATAATAGGCATATATCAATTAAACAATCAGCGAACGGAAAAGTGATTACTGGCAAAAAGGTATTGCTGACCTGTAAAATTTGCAATCAACGTTATGAAGAATATGTAAACAATGGGCGCGGGATCGCAAAAATTGAGACCCAATATATATAGCGAATTGGCCGTTTTTACACTATGCATAATCTTGAGGCATTAAACTGTCACATCTAACGAACTGACTAGATCGAAAACGTGATCTATATATCCTCTGCAATTTCAACTGCAATTGCAATATAAAGCAACTGCAATTTCAACCAATATGAGCTCCTTTTTCATCCCCGGAATTCTGACTGACTTACTAGATTTGCGACCAGTTATACAAGGTGTGTATGAAAAAATTGCAAGCTTAATAATTCCAAGGGACCTACGATTTTTGTTACTGAAAAGAAGCGAATATTTATGAATGTTTAGTAGATTTTTATACACTCTGTATCGACATGAGCTAGAGTTGTTCATAGGGATTCCACGTTTCCTCCGATTCAACCAGACACGCGGTTACCGAAAACGGCGAATAAAATGATTGCAACGCAAAACGTATTTGCTTACCAGCAGGTTTTGCTCAAAAAAGGCATTAAAAGGAATTTAATGAAAGGTTGCACATTTTTATTAATATCGTCTTTGTTGAGAAATTTTGTCTAGACTGTCTGTAACAAGGATTATTAAGATACTACAGGGGTTCAGAGGTTACTGCATGGGTGTAAACAAGCAAGTTGTTGTTAACCTTTGGCGAGTCGTTCAAAGGGGGAAATACCCACAAATTAGAAATCAGTTGCAAAAAAATGTTAATTTGCAGAAATATCATGTTAGTTGTATTCAATGAGAACGCTTCTTGTTGAGTGTAAAAACATGTATCGTCGATGTTATAAACAGTGTACAAGTTCTCAAATGTTAGCTAATAATCAGTCTCCTGCTATAGCTGCACGCAAATTTTTGGGGTTCCCGATGAATCACCTATGTCATTTCGGAAAACCCCTAAAAAAACTCCGAAGGCGAAGGATGCATATATAAAAGGGGCCACGGCAGTTCCATAACTTATTACATGCACATGTGTTTAATAAATCGAAAATACAAAACCTACCGCAGGAAGCCTATAATGCACTAGTAGAGTCACAATCGTCAAGGTAAGCTACGCGATTTCGTTAATGACGTTTATCTTACTTGAAACACTTTCACATGCGTGCAGATCTTGGATTTCTTAAACATGTGTCCAGTTTATGTTCAGTTTTTAGTGCTAAATTGACTTGTGAATTAAGAATTTACAACATCATTTTAGCTTCACCAATGGATTTAATACCAGAGGGTTAATTGGGGTCACATTACAAAACACATAAAGTTTCAAGTTTCACTTATGCAGTGTGCACGATACTTATACGAAACCATTTGTCGTCTCTAAATGTACGATTCTGACTCTAGTGTGTGTGAGCGAATATAGATGCGCGTAGAAACATCTTGTTTCAAACTTAGGGCTGCTTTCGTACACGCACGTAAAGGCGGATTTCCATTCAGTGCAAAATGTCGCGCGATCGACTTTTTGAGTGCTAATGAATCAGTGTCTATGATCAACTGGACTTTGAATAACATCTGGTTGTTGCTTGTTGAGGAAATGTTGAGTGTTCAGAATAACAATTTTTAAATTGTAAACTATGGTATATGTTCAGGTAGGGTTAGCATGCATATATTGATGTGTTTGTGGTAAATAAAATTATATCATTCGATCTCAGTTAAATTATTCCATATATAGCTACAAAAAAGCTAGCACTATATGACAATTATGAAATTTGTGTGAAATGTTTCTGACAATACTCTGATACTGCATGAAAAGTGTTATTCCCAGGGGCGGCGGGGGCAGAGTTTTAGAAAAGGGCACATTTATTTTACCTTGGCAACCACACGAAGAGGAAACTGAAATTTACATATACATGAAAACTTGCAAATCCACGGGAGAACGCATTTTCAATAATATTACCGGTTAGTTTTTATGCGAAAAGAAGGCATCATGCATGATTAAATGTTGAATTTATGATACTTTTGTATTCTAGCAAACGGCAATGTGGATATAACATGCACGAGTGAGTTTTTCAAAGATTAATAATATATATAATTTGATTGGTTCACAGGGAATACAGAAAATTGCACTATCATTACAGATTTTTGCCCTGTTGTTTAGGATTAACTAACTACCGCTTAAATCAACGAATCACATTCAAGTAATACTTTTATATATATTACTATATCACAAACGTAAACAACGGGAGTTACGGGATTGCCTGCGTACTCTCCTTGCTGTTGTAAACGCATGCAATACAATATAAATTTGATGCGCATTACAACGCCAATTAACCAGATCAAAAACCAAAGTTTTAAATGCAATAAAAACAAAACAAAAATATAAGAATAATCAATGAAATACTTTCCACTTCTGCGAATTATTTTCTGACTGAAACAATGTGTAGCTGTGTTCCGGGCTCGGGGTGCTCATATGCAATGCAGTTGGGGATTTCGCAATTAAATCCCCTCGCCTATTTAAACCAATTAACCATTAAGGAGATATTTCCAACAATGTACTCGTATAACTATTGAAAGATCGACTTTTCACTCATATAACTTTTATTTTATAACTCTATCAAGTACAGTCAACTCGTCAGAAAGACGTATGCCGTTATATCAGTTGTGTAAATTACGAAAACAAAAGTACTTTAGTGTCCGTGATTGTTTAGATGCATGATAATTGCAAATCAGACGATGTATGCATGCATGTTAGTTGCTGGACGCTGGTCAAAAATAATTAGAACAAGATGCCCGCTAGGCATTAAACTCGCATTGCTTGAGTCGAGCTAGGGCTATGACAAAAAAGACGCTTACTCAGGCGTGTGTTTGGGCTTGCCATAGTTGTTCAGCTATGGAACGGAACGGGCGTGAAAATGGGGAGAGCATTGGATAAATTTAATGGACGACTTGCGCTTTAAACTAATTTCTTACCTCGGCGATAAAAAGGACATTTTCTGAAAGAGCTTACTAAAATTAGTGAAACTGCCAAGTTTGGCTGCGAGTTGTTGTAAATTACGGAAAATATAGCCATGCGAAGTTGTCGATTTTTGTATACTTTTGTATTACGGTCAGAAGTGTGTAACTAATTTAGTTACACATTTCGGCACGTAATACAAAAGCATACAAAATTTGCCAACTTCGCATGGCTATATTTTCCGTATTTTACAAAATTTCGCAGCCAAACTTTGCATTCGCACTAATTTAAGTAAGATCTTTCTAGCTGTGATGATTTATTTTCTTCTAGTTTATTTTCAAAAATTAGTCTAAAGCGCAAGTCGTCCATTGCGCTGTGATCGCCTGCATCCCAATTCAAATATAACTTTGGATTTCAGAACGCGGGTTAGCTTTGTGATCTTCGTAACTTGATTGATTACGAGATTGAGATGTTGTCTGTTGCCACATTTCGAAATATCTTGAATTTTTATCGTCTTTTGTCCACAAGAAAACGATGAACGTCATGAACGAATGCACTCAGCAGTGCAGCATGCACGTTAGCTTAGCAACCAAGCCTGCGTAGCTCGTGGCTTGCAGTTCAGCGCACCTTATCGCACCTTGCGGGTCGCGAAATTCTCGACCATAAAAATATTAAGAACGCTTCCCATTTTAAGAACTCGCTTGCGCATTGCGCAATGCGAGTTAATTAGTTGTTTACAATGTCAGTGTCTTTTAGATCTAAGTTCCTTATATATTTATTTCATTTTCTCTGGGTTGCATGTTATCACGGTTAATATATGTTATGTTGTCGCTATCTATATGCGCATAATTATGATTGTAGGCAAAGAACCATACACACACACATATATATATATATATATATATATATATATATATATATTTATATATATATATATATATATATATATATGTATATATATATATATATATATATATATATATATATATATACACATCATATTTGCATCTGCCAGAAAACAATCTGATATAATAACTACAGTGAAACACGCAATTTGATTACTCAATAGACGTGCAGGATCAAGCAATCCTGCACGAGGAATTTAAAACCACTCAGCGGGATTTTCGCGGGATTTTCGGGGATTCTCAAAATATCATTGTTTCACTGTAGATACTTTATGCTTTCCGAAAGTCTCGCAACATCCCCCGTTTATGGATCACGCAATGCTGCACGGAAAACCATTTGGTAATCCTTTAATATAACAGAGGCGTAGGAAACATCCAGAGATTGGGGGGGGGGGCACCAGTTTCCAGGGGCACTTTTGGTTAATAAAAAGGGCAGCTAAAAATATGTATATAGGAACGCTTTGATTGCCAAAGTTGCAAGGGCACCACTAGTGTGGTGTATAACGATGCTCCACAAAAAGATTTGGGCACGCATCAGTGGGCATACGTAGCAAAAAGGGCGCTTTTGGTCCCTAGAAATATTTTGGGGCGGCACTTGCCCCCGCCTGTTTAATAACATACACGCTAAGATAACGTAAATCTTAATTCAACACGATAGATCAAAACTGATAAAAAGTCTTTGAAGGATATTTTCTATTAAGAATTTAAAGGCAGTTAATTCAAAACGAAAGGACATGCAGTGCCCATGTATGAATTAAGGCTAGTTTCCACTCAGGAAAAATCTCCTTTAGATCGGAACGGACAGGAAAATTTCCTTTGTCGGTGAGTTCTGAGGCGGCGTTTATACAAAGGAAACTTTTCTGTCCTGTCCGGAGTGGAAACTAGCCTTTAAGTAACCTCGCTCTATTATAATTATCCATGCATACGAAGTAACACTTTTTAGTAACACTTTTATACGACTTTAATTCCCTCGTATAAACTGGAACTCATTTTTCTATATTGCATAAACTTGGGAAAGACAATAATCTCAAAGCACGATGTAGCTAAAAACGCTTGCATTTGACTGTTTTGACTTATTTGGCGTTTTGACTTATTGCGGCATTGACAATTGGCAAATAAAAAAGAGCAGAATAATATACTTATGAAAAGGTTTGCAAGCAAATACTGAAATCAAAACCACCATGTCGTACTGCTTTTCTATGCATCTATGCGTGTTTAAATTTCTCAAATGCCATGCACTGATATTATAACTTGCTTTGAATTACTTATGCAAAACAGAACTTCAGACTAATTAACTTTCGTTTATGAATATAATTAATACACTTAACTCTAAAGGTTATAAACCAATGAGATCTCGACATTTTGCGGTAACGAACGTATTTGGTAGTCTCAGCCACTAGGGCCGGAACAATTGTCTTAACGTAGTAGGGCTTTTTGTACGTTATTGAAAAGCTTGCCTGAAAAATGCGCAATTTACCCCTCCTCTTTTTTGAAGTAAAAGGAGCTACTAAGGGATTCTTACACTAATAAAAACCAAGGAGTCGGTCACGGCAATTTTGCATTGGAAGAAGAATGCAGGCTATTTTATGGCCATTTTATGACTGTGATGAACCAACAAAATATTATGTATTAAAATCATTTTGAAGACGTCGATAAGTTTGATTGATTTTTTTAAGATGCTAAAGACAACAAATGGCTAAGAGAAGTCTGTTTTTTCTTCACGATTACTGCCGTTGTCGTGGGACAATGGCACTGGACAATTCAAACTGTCAAAAATGCAATTGTAGCGGTTGTCGGGTAGATCTTAAACAAAGTCTTTAAATCGCTGGTACCATCTACATTGTTGGGTAAAATTTGTCTTAAAAAGACGCCATTAGCAACCATCAGTAAAGTAATGCATAGAGGATGTTCCAGTTCCAGTTCCAGTTCGAAAAGCGTAAGAAAACGTTCCGCGATCGTATCCAAACTGAAAATCCAGACAATCCCACTGTTAAAATATTGTCGAAAATTCGGTTTAAGAGACGCCTTAACGATTTGGCGGTTGTTCATTCAGTTCCGTGGAAAGAGCTTGGAAAAGGAGACTTCAAAAATATAATTGTTGCCCTAGTTGAGGTGTTGAATAAATTTGATTTAAAACCCTGGAAAATTCAGTTTCACAGAGTAGAGAAAAAAGTTAATATAATCAAAATAATCTTGCAATCCTTTGATAGTCAATTGTGTGAAGAAAGTGACCTTCGCAAAATATTTACTCACGCTATTTGTTTCAATGAAAGGGGTCAACTATTGGAATTTTTAAAATATTATATTTCTTTTGTACATTGTGCGGTTAGTAGCAATTACTGTCGGTCTATGTTGGAATTTCGCATTTTCTTGAAAGAAAAATTCTATGGATTTAGAGAACGTGAAGTCTGTAAAAATCGATTTCAATACGACTATTGTAGATATTCCGGCAAAACAATAAACATACGTTGTAAAATAATTAATAATGTTTCTGTAAAACCAGCGACTTGTAACCAATCAACACAAACGTCAGACAATGATATAGATTTTAAAAGGAGTATTTTAGAAGTAAATTTTGAGTCAAAGAATAGCAGTCGAAAACCGCAAGAAAATGATACTTTAATACGCGATTTACGCCATAAAAAGTTTTTAATCCAAAAAATACAGAGACAATTGGAATTAGAAAGACAGAAATATATCGAAGAAAAAAAACATTTAGAATCGGAAATAGCAAGTTTGAAAAATGCCCTTCGGAAGATGGACAACGAGAAGAGAAATGTCTTAGTCGAGCTTGGAAATATTTTAGTCAAAAACGATTTAAAAACAAATGAAGCAAGAGCTGTAAAAAAATTTCAGGAGATTTTTCCTCGTAAGGCAGTAAATGATGGAAGCGATGATACGCCAGAGTATAGTCCGATGTCAATCGTTAATGCCACATTGCGTTCAGTGGCACCATTTCAGAAACCAGGATTGGACCTGTAGAGTTACGTGCACAGCAAAGCGATAATCAACAAAAAAGGAATAGACCTCAAATTCAAGATAACAACGAAAGTGGCGCTTTATCTGAATTAATACCATTCCCTGTTGAAGTGGCCGAAAGAAGTAGCGCAGAGTCAATTGGTAATCCAGTAGTGTTGAACGGCTACAAGCAGTTATTGCTCACAATTAGTTATAGCCTACTCTTAGGTGATATTGTGGAGTTTAAGTGTTGGGCAAGTGAAAATTTTTTCATTGAAACCAAATTTACAGCAACCGACGTCATTCTTGATTTAGACGGGAAAGGTGTTATCAGTGTCTCAGATTTAGATGTGCTCCGTGTTTTCTTCGAGTCGATTAAAAGAATTGATTTAGTTTACCTCATTGATGAATTTAACTGCGGAGACCATGCTATGCTGAAATTGGCCATGTGTGGAATAAAGGCAAGAAGCGTGAGAAAAACACGTGAAATCACAAGAAGTCAGGCTCACCTGTCTAGGGTCCTTACGACAAATCATCCTTCGAGCTCTTCATCTCCTGTGGAACAGAGCGTAGCATCAGAATCCAGCCGGAGCAGTCAATGTATAGGCGGTAGTCAACATGACGCCTCCCGTGGGTGTTCGCGATATTCTCGAAGGATCTCCAGATCAGTTGAAAATGAAGTTCCGATGAGCGAGAGATTCCTACAGATTCCTACCAGACGGGAAAATGAAAGAGGTTGGTTTATACTAGTTCGCTACTATAAATATAATTTCCGACTAGAAATGAATAAATATTCACTTTTTATTAATTTTGTCTATTAAATGCGATGAAAAGAAAGTTTTATAAATCTTCAGTGTCTGTAATAGACGAGAGGCTTGCTTGCAGGGAGCATGCATCAACCAATTTTATATTTTGCTGCTTCATGTACGTTTGGTTTTCGCAAGAACTAAAGTATTATAAATATTTTTTTCCAAAAAGGTGATGGCAATAGGTCTCGAGCAAAGATTACCTCAAGTGCTGCTGAGAAAAGGGAGACGAAGCATAATCTCTCCGGGCAATTAAATATGTCTCCAAGATCAAATAATGTGGTGGAACAATTGCAAGTGGAGAGATGGTTGTGTAATCACTACAAAAGACGTTGCATGGTGAAATTTGAATGTTGTGATAAATACTGGGCTTGTCATCGTTGCCACAACGAGACGAGCACGTGCCAGCAAAAGAAACTGAAATCACGTGATACGACGATGGTAAAGTGCATGGAATGCGGTAAAGAACAACAAGTTAGTGATAAAATTGTTAAATATTTTTACGCCCATAATGAACCTGTGATATAATTGCTTTGTATGGAGTTATATAGATCTTTTAAAATTGGTGGAAATCATACATGCATGTATAACTGATTCACGATGATGTCACCCTTTGTGGAAGGTTCAATTTTTTCATCGCCCACTTCTAGTGAAGATTTTTTACAATATTTAAAAGTCGCTATCGCAAGCGTTAAATGTCTCGTCTCTTTTTTAAATTTAGTTTGGCGAAAATGATCAATTCTGCGTGGCATGTAACAGTAAATTCGCTGATTATTACTGTGGTCTTTGCAAACATTTGACTGGAATGGATGATCATCCCTATCATTGTGAAAAATGCGGAATATGCAGGTATATATGCTCAATATTGTGTATACCGTCGGAAATCAAAGACTCATTTGCACTGCTATTATTATAAATTTTTTCCAGGATCCATGGAGATCGTTCATATCATTGCGACGTCTGTGGTGTTTGTCTTGATGTTCAACTCAGAGGAAATCATAAATGTCGTCCAGATTCCGCTCATGACAACTGTGGTATTTGCTTTGAGGTACATATGAACATTGATCACTATCAAAGTAGCAGAAAGTCTACAAATTGGCCGTACATATTCGGTTCGGTCGGAAAACAGTTGATCTCGGTCGGAAAGAAAGGTCTATTGATTGATCTAAAAAGATTGTATTTCCCTTTCAGTAAACTATTTCCCTGTTAGGAATATTTTTTTGCAATGTTTAGAGTACGCCTCACTACGGGGTATCGTGAAAATATTTTCGAACCTTCAGTTCAAAATTCGGGTCGAATTGTGTAAAGTGATATTATCCAAGTTTCTGATTGTAATTATTTTTCTGTAGGACGCATTTACAGGCTGCCAAATCCTTCCGTGCTCCCACAAAGTTCATAAAGAATGTGTCACACGTATGATTCAAAATGGAATGTAAGTTGAATGTCCAAAAAGCTTAAAACAGTTTCTCGTAAGGTGTGAAATAAGCGTTCTTATTAAATGCCTTTTCAAGATCCTCTATTCTGATTAGTACGGATCGTGGTCGGTATTACCGTATATACCTCTACGTGCCATGCAGTTCGGCCATATAATAAACAGATTATTTACCTTGCTTATGTAAATATCAGATCGATGTTTTTTGTTTACGGATAATAAGCTTCAGTTGTTGCATGAATCTCGAGGAATGTTAGGTGTTAGCGAGAAAAAATTGTCTTTAGGACGAGGTTTGTCTTATTTCTAAGTTCACTATTTTGTACAGACATGCAATAACCTGCTGGATCCTGCGCACAAGATTAATTGTAGTATTTTAGAACGACAATCATGGTTTAAATTAATTACATATAAAATCAGTCGGGTTTTGGAAATAATTCGCCAAATTACATATAAATTTTGACCATGGTATGTACTTTATCAAAACTGCAATTATGTTTTTCTTTCACCAGGACACGTTGCCCGATTTGCCGAGAGAGTTTTGCGCACAAACTTCAAAAACGATCAATTGAAAAGACAACAACCAGGAGATGAGATGTTTGTTTTGTATTGTCACGTTTTGCTGTGTGTGGAATTTATTAGTCCTATTTAACAAGGGCACCGTAGCGTGAAACATGGACGGATGAAAATTATGAAATATTCTAATAACAATACGTATAGCTAGCACTTAAACATACAACATAACAGAATATCGTTATAAATAGTCAGTAAAATTTTTTAATATGCAATCTTCGTCTATTAGCAATAAATTTCTCGTTCATTGTATTGTCAGCAAGTATTGTGAACAAAACACTCACAACAGACTCTAACCCTTACATTATTTTATTACAATAGAGGATGTTTCAAGGTGGTCTACCACACGATCTCCCTATTCGATCCTAAATATTTTTCTTGAAAAAATATATAACCGGAACGCGAGAATTGAACGAAAGTTTACCCTGAGCAAACAAAACGGCCCGATTGGATTGTTTTATTGTTTCATTGTTTTATTGTATTGTTCTCTCAGAGATTTATGAATATATTATAATAATTTATGAATATATTATAACCAGGTTAATGAAATTTCAAATAAGAATTGCTCAATAATCAGGCAAAAATTGATTGGCCTGTGAAAATACAGGAAGTAAGGACGTTACCAGAAGTAAGGAGTTTTTCAATTAGTTTTCTAAAATTCCGTACCAACTGATATTTTTTGGAACGCTTCTATTACTGCGACTGTAAAAGACATTTAACACGGAAATGAACCAAAAAGAGTTGCATTCCGTTAGGTCTAGACTAAGTAGCGACTAGATAGATTTATATTTATTGGCTAAAAAACGTTTAACAGTGCAGAAGTGTCATTTGTTCTAGTTTCAACTCCGTCGTTCTAGCGTTAGTTATCGTATTTACAAAAATCGTCAATTTTAAATCATTGGGTGTGTCTGGTGTTAGTAACTATGGTGATTGCACATTCATAAAACTCTTTTTACCAATAATAACTTGCTTGACACCCTTGTCAAGTAATCAAATCGAAAAAACTATTTAACATATCGTTTCACATATCCTATAATTATCAAGAAGAGGAAGTTTCAGCAAGAATCTAATTCTCACCAAATTGCGTACATCCGGGGTAACATGAGTTGCGCGCGCACCGCCGCATAATCAATGTGCTTCACCTCTCGCCTACGTGTTGGTCAGTTGCTAAGGATATCGCTTGAAGTCTGCTGTCTGTTTCTCTTTCTTTTCTTTCTACGATCCTGTCCGTTGTAGGTAAATATCCTTTGTCAATCTCTTCAGTTTAGGTAAGTTGATTTGTACATCTATGGTAGTATTTGGACCTTTATTCCAAGCAATCCGCCAAAATAGAAATAAAGTTATGAAGCCATAGTTTATATAGTTTAAATTGTGTAGTATAACGTGTTACACTTGAACGGTTTCAGCGACTGGTCGCTGGCTATAATTCACAGTAAAATACCTGCTGCATACTATTGTGCTTGTTGTATGCCATCGTAAGTGCACTCATTGCAGCAAAGGGCACCGTGGTCGTGTTCATGTTTTGTACACTGGCTGTATTATAACCCTCTCGAACTCATAATCCTGCAATTTATGTCTAGATATATCTGCTCCGGTTATTTCCGTGTATTAGGAAAGAAAATCAACAAAGCATCGATCAGTTCCTGCGAGAGCAAGCATGCCGCAACGATATCACCTCGCCAAGCTTTTGGCTTAATGGCCTTGTTTGCTGGTCAATCATACCATGCAGTACCAAGTCACACTGGAGCGTTCATTATACGATTGGTATATAGACTATAGTATTCTTTGTGTTTGCTATTCTATCGCGCACCCCGCAAATCCTATATATCTTATAGGCATGCACTAGAGAATAATCTTTCACCTCTTCAGGCTCAACACAACTCAGGACAAATAAGCACACTGATACGACAGTCTAAAGCCCCGTTTACACTACAGTCAATTTATTGGCACGGGTACCCATGCCCAACTTTATTAGTGCTTAAACCCGGTTTACACTACACTCGCTTTATGGGCACGGCACGGCACGGCTAAAATGTGCACCCGTGCCCATTTCGTCCGTGCCCCCGGTCTTTGTTTTGGTAGCCTGAACACTAATAAATTTGGGCACGGTATCCGTTATTTTTAGCCGTGCCGTGCGAATAATTGAGTGTTGTGTAAACGGGGCTGCTTTCCACTGTCACGTTTCTTGTACGTACGTACACGCTTTATAGAATAGCATTATAGAATAGCCTTATTCGGTCGCTTCTGCATGATACTGCTTATGATTATTTTGGGAATGCGGTGATAAACATTGAATTACGTAACACTTTGTAAATATTGAGTTTCATTGATACATGCATGGTATACGTTGAAACGTTTTGAATAGAATAGCTATGATAAATGCTTCGTCCTTAAAGATACAAGTAATGCCTGTAATATGATACTACAGTGCTCTTCAAAAATGCATTATAGTTATTACTAAAAAATTAAAGTAATGTTTCTGTCTCAAGACAGTACCATTAATTACTAGCAGTTCTTAACGGAAGGAGCAAAATCAGGTGCAAAAATGGTGAGTACATTTTTTCTTACTTTTTGATTTTTGCCTCAAATATTCCTGCTTCTACAATTCTAAGCCCCCGTTTACACGACACTCAATTTATTGGCACGGCTAAAACGGGCACCCGTGGCCGATTTTATCAGTGCCCAGGCTACCCATTAGCCGTGCCCTGCCAATAAATCGAGTGTAATGTAAACGGGGCTCTATTTACCTCCCCATCCCCCGCGCGTGTACAAAGTTGCATGCGTCTCTTTCGAAAATTATTGTTTGTATTGAATATTTATAGCTAACACTGTCTATAAATGGGGAGAAGGGGGGATTGGAGAAGCGGTCTCAAAGATTTTTGGGAGGTGGCCTGTGTAGCCGAATTTTAATGAAACATTTCATCATCATATAATTCGCATTTTGTTAGAATATGTCATAAAATACTTTTTTAACTTAGTCTCAGATGAAAGCCCAATTTAGCTTATTTTGCGTTTTTTGTTTTTTGAAATTTCTTGCTGAACACAGAATAAAAATTTGACTACAGTTCAAAAAACGTCCTTGCTTCGTAGGCGTTTTATAATTACGGATTTGATATTTTTTGTTTTTGCTCTCTTCTGTTCTGATTTGACAAGATTTATTTTGTGTAATTCACCAGCATGGTGATCCTGGATTTACAAGCCAAGATATATGCGTAAATACAACATCTAAACAAATTAAGAATATCTCGGATATTTTGCCTTTACTGTATGTATTACTAGATAAGTATATGCTTGCTCTATCCAGTCTATACTCTTAAATAGCAGCGTATGTCACTGTATGTAGTCATAATTGTGCAATATAAGTCAATTCATGGGGAATCCCCTAAGGCCCTACAAAACATGCTGATGCATCGATTAATAATTGATATAAACAAGCCGAAATTTACAAGTGGTCGAAATAAATTCGTTCGCTTCTTGTAGTGACATCAGTTGAAAGAAAATCACAAAGGAATATACCATACAACAAATGTGTTAGCGTGGGCTTCATACAATATAAGGTGGGAAAGAGTTTTAACATGATATTTGCGTTAAAAACTGTTATATTTTAAATATTATTTTAACGTATTTCAATGTAATAATTCGGGTCCTATAATCATTTAAGAATATCGCCACAAACTAGTAAGACGAGTTGAAATACGACTTTGAAACAATGAAGATATAAATTATTACGTTTATGTATAACCGAGTTCTGACAAAATATTTCTGCATGTCTCAAGTGAAGGCGTTCCATGCGTAGCCGTAGGGCTGGAGAATCTATGACCACCTCTAAGGGATTTAAACATCCAACAAGACGCCTGTTCTGGCGTTAATTAACTCCGGCGTGCCGCGCATGTGCCAGTCTTCAATATGAAGCGTCACTCAAGCGTCTGAACATAAACAATACAATTCATGTTCGAACCTAAATGTTGTTCGATCGCCAAATTCAGAAGCACATCGTACTTTAAAAAGTATAGAAGTTCAATTGTTCAAAAATGTAAATAAACCGCATGATGGCATTCACTTTGTCTTACACTTTGCCTTTGGAAAGCCTTGATCCTACACGACGAGCCCATATAATTATACACGGCCACATCTTGTTAAAAGGCGAAATAGCAGCGACATTATTAAAATAGGACCAGAATCTACATGTATTAAATATATTCTTACCCCAATTTAATCTAAACTTAATCGAATAGCATCAAAAGAACGGTTTATTTGTTCCTCTTGGAGGAATTGCCCTATCATGCGAGCGAAATAGAATCGCGCATCGGAAAATTAGCCAAAGCTGTGCACCACAACTGTTAGGAGACAAAACGTAGATCAATCCGATCATATACACATTCTTAATAGTAAAATAAGTAAATACTAGTATATATTTCGCACCGTTACACACTTACGACGATAAAACGAAAACAAAACAAAACCGAGGCAAATTTTCAACTCCATCGCTGACGCCGGAGTAATTAGCCATTAGCTGGCGTCGTATATAGTTGACATCGTACGTCATTGCGTGTTAAGACGAAATTTCGGCCTCTATTAACTATTCCCTAAAGAGCACGAGATCTGTTGTAAGTTTGACGAAAACGAGGCCAGCCCTTCACACCCTTTCACGCACTACGCCTCCGAACTGTGTTATGTTAACTTCTTGCCGCTTAACAATTTCATGGAAAGAATTGTGCCAAATGTATTCGTACAAAATACGCGTCCAAGTAGCTTTGCCACTTGAGTTTTGGAATGATGGAATGGAATTATGTATTTGTGTCAAATTAAGACTGTTTAGTGTTTATTTATTTGATTTTCTCAGCACCAAATATATTTGCACTGAGTTTCTGGCAAAATGATGGGCCATAGGCTATTTATACTTTCGAGTAATAATAATTATATGAGTCAGCGATTTAGCGTTATTATATCTATACTTATAATTGTCTAATAATTATTGTCAAGTCACGGCCGGGGAAACCCCAGAAACTTGCAGACGCGCGTAGATATACAATAAATAATGTGTATGTATGATTCTGAATTATGTATGTATGATAATTCATGTGAATTTGCTTGGCCGTCTTGGCGCTACTTGCATTGACATCATTTCGAAGTGTAGAGAGAGGAACATTTGTGCATCAAGTGCGTTATCGTTGATTCATAAAGTTCATAAAGTAGAACACTGTTATTTTTTTAATGTATTATTTTATTTTTGGTTAGTGTCATTTTGAGCAGTACTTAATATACAGTTAGTTCAGGATAGCAAAACTGCAGAGCAAAAATAACACTTAGAAACTAGTAATAGGAGCCGTGGAGATCAAAATTATTACATTTATATAGCATTAACACTTTAAATTGGTTCCGACTGATAACAAAATTGTTTCATTGTGTAGGGAGAAAAAAGAGCATTATTTTATAGACTTTCATATTAGGTAGGACCTGTATACTATAAGTAGAGTGTTCGATATTAGCCGAAATGCCGAATTCATAGTAGAAATGGGAAGCTTATCTTAATTGATTCGTTCTTTAATAAACTGTCGGAAAATAGGAATTGTGAAATAAATGTAGCAGTGGTCATGCAGGTGGTTATAAAATCCCTTACTTTAGTTCTGTCTTTGACCGTTTTGGTGATTAGAAAACTCGTTTGATTTATCCGTCTAGATTTGGATTTAAGAAGAGTTAGCCTGGTTTCTCGTCTGCATTGACATGAATTCAACATCTGTCTGCTATAAGTCGATGCAGGAAAAACAAAGCTGGCGATGTAATCATTACGAAAGACGTTGCATGGTGAAATTTGATTGTTGTGATAAATACTGGCCGTGCAATATTTGCCACAACGAGGCGAGCACGTGTCAGCAGAAACCCAAAACACGTGATACGACGATGGTAAAGTGCATGGAGTGCGAAAAAGAACAACTGGTAACAAAGAAAAGATTCCTTTAGCCCATTTTATTCAGTTCTAGCTCAAGTCTCTGCACTGCAAGAAAAGAAGGTTTTTATTTGTATGGAAGTATACATGCAAATGTATAGTCAAAAATCTCTTTCAATGAGTACATCCGTTTTATGCCCATAGACTAGCCCACGTTTGCTGCAGTGGATTGACAGTTATTCACCTTTGGAATTTTGACAATTCTGCCAGTAAATATTCTGTTACTAATATTTTTATATTTACACAGTTTGGTGAAAATGGTCAATTTTGCATTTCGTGTAACACTCAATTTGCTGATTTTTACTGTGGTATTTGCAAACATCTTACTGGAAAGGGTAAACATCCTTATCATTGCGAGAAATGCGGAATTTGCAGGTATGAACCTTCCTATTGACAATTGCATGTAATTAAAACGAAAAAATCTTTTACAAAATTATGACTAACCAGACATCGTAACTTGGTGTTGCAGGAATCACGGAGATCGTTCATTTCATTGCGATATTTGTCGTGTTTGTCTTGATGTTCAACTTAAAGAAAATCACAAATGTCGTCCAGATTCCGGTCATGAGCACTGTGCTATTTGCCTGGAGGTAACTATGTATTTTTCTTCAGGGAAATCGCCTACTGATCATGAAATACCATAATTACACACTATAGCCAGTATATTATACATAATATATACTAGCTCTTCCCCGTGGAAAAAACAAAGTAGCAACCGTTTTAAAATCCACGTTTTTTTTATCTTTTTGCAGGATACGTTCAAAGGTTCCAAGATTCTTCCATGTTCTCACAAAGTCCACAAAGAATGCCTAATTTTGATGATGATTCAAAGCGGAATGTAAGTTATTTTTGCGTCATTAATTTGGAGGTAACCCTCTTTTGAAAATTAGGAGAACAAGCCTGAAGTAGAAACGAGACAATGCTTGTTTGAAAAAAATATTAAAGATCTCTACAATATCTAGAGATATTGAGAGAGATCCGCGATTGCTTTTACATCTCTGACAACGCTATATATCACGGAATGTTTTCCGGTTTTTTAAAGAACTCGTTGCTCGATATGCCTGGAGAGTTTCGACTACAAACTCCAGAAACGCCCAACAGCTGGAAAGAAGCCATCAAGAAGGCGATGAAGACTCGCATAACAAAAAAAAGGATATTTTATACTTTATATTTATATATTTTTATTTATATAATAGAGGTGTATATATTATAATAATTGATCAATTTTAGTGCGCGCGAATTACGATTAACACATAATTATATAGTTGATGGTATTTCAATGGCGACCTAAAGGAAAGGATTTATATATCCTCAAGCAAATTTATTGGTCGAGACCGTAATGATGTTTAGATTCTCCAGTTCCCCCCGAGTAAATACGAGTAAATACGTGTAAAAATAAAAATATTTGTAAATAAATCTGGAAACCCATAAAAATAAGTCAACACTCAACAGAAGTACCCAAAGAAGCCTGGTTCACATGATCGCCGACCTGATGCCGGTAGCAGACGAACCGGATAATTTTGAAAATAATTGATGTATTAGTAACAGATATGAAAATGCAATATAAACGCAAAAGGCTTAACATGGTGAAGCCAATAGTTTCTTGCATAATAACTCAAGCGTTAAAAAATGCGAGAAATAATTTTAGAGAAAAAATTCAAAATTACTGAATTGATATTATATGCATGGACGATAATCTATATCATCTAAATCTTGTTATAGGTCTTTCCTTTTGGTTTTGCCACTTATCCCTCCTATCACTCATATCATGACTATATGCAAATTTTCACGACAACTGTAACGTTCAACAGTTCTTATACAGGACACGAGAAACAGAAAGAAAGTATTAAAGTAGCTATAGTATTACATTTCTTGGAAGTCATCACTTCCAGTGTGTGCATGAGTATAATTACAATAACAAGCTTGTAAAATTAATATCCGGCCATACTGGTTTAAGAATGACTTTGAGATAAATTCGAAATATCACTGTAAAACTGTTATCTCAGAGCCGGTGCGGAGCACGTGCAAGCCAGGCGCACGTACACGACGCGATTTCTGTCCTATGATTTTACGTTCTCAACAAATGGTATTTACCAGAGAAATTTGAAATTTTGTCAAAAAACTTAGATTGCGTGCATAATTGCGAACACTTGGCAAAAGTCATGGGTATAATTATGTAGATCGTTCAATTTACATCATAAACGCAAGTCCGCTATATACATAGCTATGTATAGTGTGCAATGGCTTTGACGTCATATATCAATGACTATCAGTTCTATACTATACAGTAGAGTGTATTGTGAGTTACTTTTTGGACCAGGAACTGGTCTCCACACGCGGCTAATCTTGTTGTTGTTGTTGTTGTTGTTAGGGGGTGACGCTCTTTAAAAAAGCCTAAGGCTCCGTCAATTCGCATCAGATCGCAATAAAACTTCGCACAACTATTCTTAGCGATATTCCCATTTCCCCATCGATTGACGGAGTTATAATTTTGATTTTTTTTATTTTAAAGAAATTTAGAAGCAACTCAAAATTGTAGCGTAGTAATGCGTATAGATTATATTCAATATTAGTATGCATAACTGAAGCAAGTTCGAATGGCTAAGGCTCCGTCATTTCGCACCAGATCGTGATAAAACTTCACACAACTATCTTAAAGGTTATTCTCTATCGACTTACGGAGTTAAATTGTTTGTGCTTGTATTCTGCAGAAGATTTGCAAGCCATGTCAGATTGTGACGGGAGGCAAATTTTAATATCATTAATATTCATATCCTGTGAGTTCAAGCCAGAAGGTCGTGTATTTTCGTTGTTTTGTACACAATATATATTCATGACTACGTATAGGACCATTGCGTTAAATGCATTTCTCTCTAGGGCATTTCTTATTTTTTATTTATTTGTTTAGGGTTTGCCCAGCATACATATGCATAAAAAACGACTATAATGACAGTAGCACGGTGCACGCAACGCTAGCTTCTCGCCAGCTACAGCGGCATAGATTAATTAGGACATAGATGTGCAACTCGGCATATTTTAAATGTCTTTGTATTGAAAGCAGATGAAAAAAGTAGAAAAGCATCCATTTTAACATAACCGCAAGATTGCCTAGGTTCATAGATATTTGAAATTTCATCCTGGAGAGAAAGATTGAATCTATACTTCACCAGTTCCTGGTCCAATAGTACGATCGTACTTATTCTAATATTGTAGCCATGATCACGATTGACTTATATTGCATGTATTTTCATTAAATCATTGCTTGGGGTTTTTATTAGCTACATATAAATGATATCAACATTGCCAAGTGCAGATTTGAATGTTCCTATTGACTGTTGGTTGTTTTAGTAACAACAATATAACACATGCAGTTGATGATTTGCTGGACATTTTATTCGTTTTCAGTGGTGGCAATAATAGTTACTAAAATGAAGCGCATACAATGCGTCACAAAACCACTGAAAAATATAAAAAAAGGTCTATAGACCTTTCAAAATATCCATATAATAATATCCATATAGAAATTGATCTTTCATTGCATGATTTTGAAATTGTTGAGAATGTGAAATAGGAGTTATTCTTATTAAAAGTTATAAAAATGAAAAGATATGAGTGATAATAAAAAATTGAGTTGAGTAGCATATAGTTCGATCTTGCGACACAGACTCTGTTAGGCCTAGGTTATACGTCGCATTTTGGTCGCGTCGAATGCAATTGAAACAATAGATAATGAGATGATAATGAAGCTTAATGAGGTTTATCATCTCATCTATTATTTGAATTGCATTCAACGTGACCAAAATGCGACGTATAACCTAGGCCTCAGCCAGTCATCTCCCGGACGATTTTGATAGCTTAATTAACGTTTTTAGTTTATCACATTTGGTACAAACAATACAAGTCAGCAGAGTGCAAAAGGTTGACCACAAGCTAGTGAATTTCATTTCCGCACAAAATTGTAGCACGTGTATAAATTAATAATAATTAATATACATATAGGATTCTTAACAGAAAGTTACCCATGAAACATTTTATTTATATTATTTATACATTATACACACTGAAATGACTGAAATAGTTACATATCTATCCGACAATTAGAATAAACTGAGGACTTGATTACCTATTGTCACACCTCTTGCTGCTCTTTCTGCAGTATAACCGTATAAAGCGTTTTATTTAATGTGATTTATTTACGCGGAGTTTGTATTATTACGACTAGGCAATGCTAATAGGTTGCTCCAGTTCGTGTCGCACTTTTGAGATTTTTAGTACGGCTATCGAATGCATCGCTACGGAAAGGTTTAACATCGGCAAGCTCCTTCATTAATTTTGCTCGACGACTTCCTGTTTGTTGCACCGGATTATTCTGCTTCTTAAACAAACTTACAATTATTCATTGCTCTTTGTGATTTCATTGGCGTGCCTATACCATCGGAAAAAACCATGGGCTCCTCAACAACCTTAACGTTCACTGGGATTAAATTAGATACAATACAATTTAAGGCCTGATTGCCGATTGATAAAATCGAGAAATGTGTTTAATCTATCGCACGCTTTTTAATTCGTAAAAAGGTTACACTCAAAGAACTTCAGTCCTTGTGGTTTGGGTATTCGGTCTTTGTTAGTTTTCAAATAGCTGCTGGCCATTCACCACCATTCCCATATTGCGTGCACTCATTACCTGTCGGTCTTTTAGATAGGGTGCCAAGCCCATCATATAAGATTTTTAATTATCGTCGGCAAGGCGTATCCCCTTGGGGGTAACCTTGTCTTAGTAGTCTATTTATAAAATCACATTACATAAATCTCTTATTTCCTTCGTAAATATTTTGTTATAAAACGTTTTTTCATGATTTAAACCTTGCCTAGCCTGCTCGCAGACTGAATTAGGGGGCCGGAAATTAAACGGGGAAAATTCAGTCTGCTGAACTGCGGGGTTTATCGTCAGAGATTTATCACGGTGACGTAATATGAACTGCATAATAATATGATAATCATTCGGGCGCACCGAATACTAAATTCATGGCCAGGAGCGCACATGGCGTCGAATAATCTTAATTTTTAATTGTATTGTGTGCTCTCGAACCATCGAAAAGCCACACGAAAGTTATTTGGTATCCAGGAAGACGAAATTTAACGCTAGTGAGGCTCTTCCATAGTTGCTATTTGATGTTTTAGACTTTTAGAGCATCACTTTACATTTCTCGACAGTGTTTCGATAAACTAAGGAAACGAGCCGCTCTTCTTGCTCAACATAACCTCATTGTAAGCGGACTTAAAGAGGCATACGAAAAATGGCAACTCAAAATGCGACAAGTCTTTGAAGAAAGTTCTGTTCACCCAATGGTGAACATCTATATCGTAACTGTGCTTCGATGACGCCATGCTTTCATAACAAACAGTGTAAAATTATTATGTTTCCAAAAATAACTTATTCAAAATATTTAGCGACAAAACGAATCAAAACTCTTGATCTATCGTTGATACGTTTGAGCCAATCACGTTCAGTTACTTAAATCCGTGTAAGTGATACGTCACCTTACACGATAAAGCCCGCAGTTCAGCAGACTGAATTTTCCCCGTTTAATTTCCGGCCCCCTAATTCAGTCTGCGAGCAGGCTAAACCTTGCCCAGTTCAGATCAATTTTCTCTGGAAGACCTGACAGTTTAGTTGACAAGAGTCATTACCATTCGAATTCAGTTCTTGTAATTGATAAAGTAGTTAATTTCTGTGTGACTGTATAGTTTCATTGTCTCCAACACGACGAAGTCGTTTCTTAAATTCTTTCCAATAGGCAGTAGTGTGGTGTTTCTATTATCCAATTAGTTGGAAGTATGATGGCTGCTATATGGCCATGAACAACGGCATTGTATACAGGAACACTCTCGCTACAGCATCTTGATCACATTCTTGACAATATAGGAGAAACAGATACGCAGGTTGATATCAGGGTTGAGAGAAGAAGTACATTGTTTTTGCTAAGCGGATGTTTTGACTAATGATTACACTTCCTTGCTGTGTTTCGGATACATTTAACCTTTCTTTAAGAGGATCGCTTCTTTTCCAAAGCGTGCATGTATAAGGTGCGTATGTACATGTATGCAATGACTATAGTCATAATCCAGAATAATTAAACAGACGAGCAACAGAACCATTACTTTCAAATATTCGTCAAAATCGTCAACGAAGTTAGGAGTGATTATCATTACTATAGCAACCACAAACCAGTTGATGCGAATAAAAGCAATGTTCGTCGAATTTCTTCGTGGATTTTTTGATTGAAATTTAAACAGTTCAACAATCAAGGTATACTGTGTCAGTGTGAAAAACGCTTGCATAGTACTTGGGGTTCGAAGACTAGGGATATTAGGATAGCTCCAGATTTATACGAACAGATCCGATGGGATTGGAGTTTGGTTTCCATGCTGCAGATAACTGTAGGTGTCTACTTAATTGTTTATTTTTGCGTTTTTGTGTTTTCTGAGCTTGGTATGTCGTTTTGCGAAGACGTAACCGATTATTAAGGCTTTACATAATAGTTTTTAACTTCCAAAAGAGTTCTTAAAAGTGTAATTCGGAGTTTTGATGTAAAAAATCACTTTAAAGCTTTTATAGAGTCGACTGCAACCCCTGCAT